AGCTGCCCAAGGACGATCGGTGGAAAATTAAGTTTGCTAAAGAAATATTTTTTGGTTTTTCAAGATTTTTGACCGGACCACCATCGTACCATTATAACTTATAGCTGCCATAGGAACGACCGGTCGAAAATTAAATTTTTGAATGAAAAATTTTTTTGTTTTTGAATATATCGTGACCGAACTCAGCATATAATAGTTTTACTATGATCATCATATATTTGCAAAACCCTATCTACATCTGACCAGTATAACATATAACTGCCATAGGAACGATCGGTCAAAAATTAAGTTTTTGAATGGCAAACTTGTTTATGTTTCTATAAATCATGACCAAATTCAGAAAATATTAATTTTACTTTGCTCTCTCCATTTATGCTTAATCTTATTTACATCGGACCACTATGTCATATAGCTGCCATAGGAACAATCCGACGTAATATAAGTTTTTTAATGGAACATTTTTTTGTTTTTAAGGATATCGCGACCGAACTCAGCATTTATTAGTTTTACTATGCTCCTCATATATATGCAAAATCCTATCAACATCGGACCACTATAACTTATAGCTGCCATAGGAACGATCAGTCGAAAACTAAGTTTTTGAATGGAAAATTTTTTTGTTTTCGAAGATATTGTGACCGAACTCAGCATTTAATAGTTCTACTATGCTCATCATATATTTGCAGAAGCCTATCAACATCGGACCAGTATAACAAGTAACTGCCATAGGAACGATCGGTCGAAAAATAACTTTTTGAATAGCAAATTAGTTTGTTTTTCTATCGCTTAATCTTATTTACATCGGATCACTATATCATATAGCTGCCATAGGAAAGATCGGTTGAAAATTAAATATTTATATGGAAAACTTTTTTATTTTTCAAGACCGAACTCAGCATTTATTAGTTTTACAATGCTCATCATATATGTGCGAAATTCTGTGAGCACCGGACGACTTTATCATTTAGCTGCCATAGGAACGATCTGTCGAAAATTAAGTTTTTGAATAAAAAATTGTTTGGTTTTTAAAGATATTGTGACTGAACTCAACATTTATTAGTTTTCTATGCTCCTCATATATGTGCAAAATCCTATCAACATCGGACCAGTATTACATATGACTGCCATGGGAACTGTTCACACAAGAAATGTATAGGGCAGTCGCCATCCATCCGCCACCCAACCGCCAATGTAAATCCGGAACCAGAACATGAAATTTCTTATTCACCACACCTACACTAATACATTGTACATATCTTCTGAAAATATACCAACCAGACGAAAAAATAACCTTCAAGTGAACTAACGTGTTTTTTCTAAAATATCGAGGAAATTTTGTGCAGAGCAGAAACGCTCCCCCAACGATACAGCAATTCGAGCAAAGTTTACCAGGAAGCCCTGCGGACGCCCTACTACAACACCTAGCATATCCAGTTCGCCCCAGCAAGCATTGTATCTGCAATAGAAGTTTCCAGAAATAGCTACAAATTCAAACAAGATAAGTAGCATTGCACCTACCTCAACTCGTCCATTGCCAAATTTCCAGCAACTCCAGTCCGATTTATTAATATTTGTATGTCTGAACATATTTTTTCGCTTCACATTGTCCGTGGTTAAAGCGAGGGGAGTTTTATTTAAGCAACCACAAAAAAAAGAACCCTCAAATAAAATATTGTTCGTGGTCATAAGGGCATCTAAAAAGTGACAGATATTAAAAGAAATAAAACAGAAAGTGACTCCAAAAAAAGGTCGCCATATTGGTGTCCGTACATATGTATATATGTACAAGTGCATACCCAAAAATTTAACCGATCGCCATATTGATGTATTCAAGTACATCAAGACATATCTGCACACATAGGCTTTCGCTCAGTTGAACAATAAGTGTATGCGCTTCTCCATTCTAGACTTCACCAAATAATTACATACCTAAATAAAAAAAAACACACACAATTCTGATTGGTATTTAGTTAATTAAAACCGAAACACTGTACAAATTATCATATTCTATGTGTATCGTTTGTAATTTTTTCTCCACAAGATCAATTTATATTTCTTTTTACAAATTAATTGGCAAGTGCAAAAGGTAAACAAACATCAGGGTTGTAAAGTATCAAGATCGGTTTTCGATAAACTGATTCTGAGCCACTTTTATATTTTTGTATGTTTCCACTTTGCCATTGAGTTGCGATTACTTAATAAAATACAAACATATGCATTACTTTTTCTTTATTCTTATAAAAATTTATAAACCATAAATATAAGTTAAGAAGTTTACACTGAGCGGCGTTTGCGTAATAAATCGAAT